GGGAGATCGGGAAGAGAAAGGAGGGGGAGCAGGACTGAACTGGGCACATGCAGACCCTGCAGACCCTGGCAGACGAGTGAGTCTGGCTGGGGATTCCATTTTGCCACCCCTTCCCCATATCCTCCCTGGAATAGTTGCAAGCTGCCTGGCAGGTAGACACACTCAGACAGCGTGAGCACATCTACCAGCCAGGCAGCTGAGGACTAATACACCTAATTATAATAAAACGTTCCTAATTAGAAAATACCAGGTATTTTATATGTCTGGTAATTTCTCAATTTCTTTCCCAGACAAAACCTTCAAATACCGGAATGTCTAGTACAAAACCAGACACCTGGCAACCCTACCCTTCCTTGCACCCTCCCTCTTAGCCAGACACCCTACCCCCAGTCTGCTCCTGCTCCCGCCTCCTGGAGTACTCATGTGGCGCCGGGTGCCCCAAGCCCTGGCCCAGGCTGGGTAGAGGATGCAGCCGGGTGAAAAACTGAAAATTTATGCATTTTTCATTCTTTTGTGTGTGTGTGTTTATATTTTTGGGCTGCAAGAGACAGTACTGAAAAAAAACCAGGTTCCAACTAAAGTAAAAAGTTTGGGAAACCCTGGTCTAGCCAGCTTTCTATCCATCTTACAGTCCATTTATCCAATCCATATTCCCTTAACGTGCTGGCAAGAATATTGTGGGTGACTGTATCAAAAGCTTTGCTAACGCTGGCACTGGGGGCTTTGGGAGGACCAGAAACAACGTATTTGAATATTCATCATTTGGTTATTGAATATGCAAATGAATGTTACCGGTCCTCCAAAAGCTCGTGAATGGATTTACTGGTCCCCGTGTCTAAAAGTTTGGGAACCCCTGGGCTAGCTGGACCTTTGGTTTGACCCAGTATGGCTGTTCTGATGTTCTTAGGTACCAGCAGGACATCCCTGCCTCCCCCCTAAAATGACTTGGCAACACTGGCCCGCAGGTCAATTCTCAGGCCCAAGTTTTGCAATTTTTTCCCCATACATCTCACCGGGACGGTACGGCTCCTGGGGCTGTGTGATTACATGCACACCTCAGCTTTAATTAGGGGGAGGGGAAAGAGCGCCTAGTCCTCCTGGTTGTGCAGGACAGGTTTTTTAAAAGAATGCCTCCAATGGTACCCAAAAGGCTCAGAAATCAGGTGACCAATACAACAGCCCCAAACTGGTTATTTTTTGTAATCTCAGGAGTTTTGCTGGTCTGACTCATGATTTTGGATTGATGACGTTGGCAACAGTGAACACTGTACACAGGAATGAATCAGTCATGTGCCAGTGATAGGTTTAAGCTCCACTCTGATGAAATATCAGGATATAAATGGGAGGCCCTGTTTTTCATTGCAATGCACAGTATTTGTGCCTCTCCCTGCAATGTCCCATCACGTGGAACCTTGTACATGATTGAAACAAACTCTGATTGTTGTGTCCACAGGAGTTACTAAGTTATTCCCTATAATGCTCTTCTTTAGTCCTGAAGAATTGGCTGCATGGCAGCTGAGGGTGCCTGCTTTAAAGCAAAACTCCAAGGACTCCTGCCAAAATGTGTAAGTCCTCTCCAGCGCATGTGTATGTGTGTTGAATATGCGGCGCACACAGATTACATGACTGGGTGGCGGGTGATTTTGGCACTCATTTGGGGAGACCTGCATCATTCACGCAGGGCTTCTACTCTCACAAAGTATGGAAACATCGTGTGTGTAAGTAAGTAAGTAAAAGTTTAGCTCCCAGAAAGGCCTACAACAAACAGTGGGAATTATTGACGGAGTTAGGCTGCAGGTGGGCCTAACCGCAGGCCCAGAAGCCTTTCAGTTTGCAGGACTTGCTTGTGTTCTTGGTTCCTGTGGGCACCAGAATCCGCTCATGTGGATCTGACTCTAAGGCTGAAGTCTCCACTTCAGATCTGTTCTCACCCCTCTTTGTTCCCCCTGCTTCCTGTGCCCAGTGTAGCGATAGTTTTACTCAAGCAGATATTATTCCACTTGAAAATGGACTGATGACTGCACCAAGGCCTTGGAACAGCCTTCAGCCCATCCAGACACCCCGCCAACACTGAACAGATCCAAAATTTTAATTGGCAAAAGGCTCTGGATCCCATTAGCAAATCCCTCAGCCATCCAGTCCCCCCAGGCAGAATTCTTATTTAATCCAGCTCAAAGTCAATAGTGATTTACGTTTCTCTTACTTAAAGCATTGCAACTGAACTTTCGTACTCCTTAGGCCTGGAGTGAATCGTGATGCATTGTAATTACTGTACGCCGACTGATGCAATGCTCTGAAACGCGATCACCGAGACCATTAATAAAATGTAAATTATATAAAAACTTGGTATTGCCTGAAATTAATAAGGCACCAGCATTTCCCCTACATGCCTGCTCATTACAGACCTGCCTATGAGTTCTCTATTAAAGTGAGTTATTCAAACTATTTGTATCATTGTGTTCGGTGTCACGGTCTATGCTGTATGTTTATATCCCAGTTAGATGCGCTGCATGAGCATTTTCTTAATCCGTTATTTCTTTCAGGCATTGATTTTAGTGGCATTGTTGTAATGCTCACACGACAAAAGAGAACAGATTGACTGCACGGTATGGATTAGTTTACTTACTACTTTTAGGGTAGGTAGATTTATCGTGCTCTGTAACAATATAATTCATTGTTGGATTATTTACAAAAGACTGACTTGGCCAAATACCAATCACGCTATTTTATTTACATATACATGTTTTACTTAATCAGGCATCAGTTTTTGTCTACACAGATTTGCCAGTGAACAGAAATGATAGTAAGTGGGAACATGTTTCTTCTCTTTAAAAACTTGTAAACTTTATAGCAAAATTCAAGATGTCCAAATTGTAGATGACTGGTATGCTATTATAATGGAGACAATAGCTGGTGGCAGAAATATATAATACTTAGCTAGAGATGAACAAGATAGGATAAGAAAACATAGCCTGGCTTCTGCAGCAGAGAATCCCAGTCATTATAATTCCCCATGACACTATCACAATACACAGGCTCATATACAGGTGGGGTTCCAGGTGTCCGGTTTTGAATCGGACAGTCCTGTATTTGAGGGTTCTGTCCAGGAAACAAATTGAGAAAATACCGGACATAGAAAATATCCAGTATTTTCTAATTAGGTGAGTTTTATTATTATTAGGAGTATCCGTACGTAGTTGTGAACTGCCTGGCTGGTCAACACGCTCACGCTGCAAGAGTGTGTCACCAGCCAGGCAGCACGCAACTGGGTGGGGCCGTGGGCAGGGCAGGATGGTATCCCCAGGGCCAGACTTGCTCATGCTTCGCCGGGACTGTGCGCAGGATGGGCAGCACCCAGGTCAGTCCTGCCCCCTGCTGGCCGATTCTCTCCCCCTGCTTCCGCATCCTGGCCAGCCCTGCTTCCCACTGGCTGGTTTCTATCCTTCCCCCTGCCCCTCCTCCCAGCCAGCCCTTCTCCCCTCCTGGCTGGTTTTCCACCCCCACGCCCCATCTGAGATCAAGTGTATCTGGTATTTTTTGAAGCCACCTGGGAACCCTAAGAGGGCAGACAGCACGTGGGAGCTAGATGGGTTTGTCCAGACAGCAAAGAAAAGTCATCTCGCGGAGTCCTAAGCCTGAGGACCAGCCTGATCCCAGACGTCTACACAGCAGTGACCTGGCCTGAGTCGGCTGGCATGGGCCGGGCCAGCCCCGGATGACACGCTGCTGTGTAGACACACCCCAAGAGGCCTGGCGAGAAGAGGAGGCCGAGGAGATGAGAGTTGTCCCAGAGAGGAGATGTGTCCTGGGAGAGGCCGGCTGACAGCAGGGCAGCAAGGGTTTTGCTAGAGGAGGAGCAGCCACGGAGGGAAATACCAGCTGGCTCTAAGCCAGAGCCAGGAAGAGTGGACGGAAGGGGCGGAACGGAGGGAGGGAGCTGCAGGCGAGCTGGGTCCCACCGGTGCCGTGGCAGGCTCCGAGCCGAGCGCGTGTACCCGCTGGGAAGGGTGGGGCCGTGCCACACGCTGAAGGGCTGGGGTGGCTGTCCCAGGGGGTAGCCAGCCCCTGACTCAAAAGGTGCAAGGCAGAAGCAACAAGGCTGCAGAGCAGGCCGGGCATGCTGCAAGAGTTCCTGTGGGAGAAGCACCCGGACCACGCTGAGGAGAAGGACCGACCGTGGAGGGTGAGCTGGAGGAGGAGCAGGAGCACCTGCCGGCCCAGCTCCGGTGGCAGAAGACATCTGTCCCCACAAGGGGGACGGTCTCAAGGGGGGGGTGCTAGGCCCACACCAACCCCTTCAGCTCCTGTGGGTGCTGCACAGCCGAAGAGGCCACGTACCCCACTGGCAAGATGGGTGAGAGAGGGAGAACACCAGGCTTAGCTGGCGGGGAAGCCCCGCTGGGCAGGGGCTGTCTGGTGATTCTAAAGCGGCAGCAAGAAGCCGGTCAGGGCGGAGTGGAGTGGAATGGC